GGGAACCGAGTTTCAAAGGTGCCTGAAATGTCCCTGCTATTATTTTCAAATGTTGTGTGTAGCTCTTTAAGGTGCAAGCTCGGGATGCAGCATGGAAACCCCTCTTCTCTTACCTTTCACCTAATACTCAGGTTTACATGGTATTTCCTAGGGTATCTCTGTTCTGGTTGTCTGCTTCCATGTTCTGGAGCTGCTGTTGGATGATGCTGCAATGCCTCGAGGAATCCAGGTGAGGGTGCAAAAAGGACCTGATCCCTCCTTGGTGCTTTTCTACTTTTCTCGTGCCTGGTTTTCATTTGCAGCTTCATGAATGACTCTGTCAGGTGTCCTTATTGATCACTCGGACGATACGTGATTGCTTTAAGTTGGGGCAAAATCCCTATTTCAGGAATCCAGCGTCTATCCTCCTTTCCCTAGGGAGAGCTGGTATTATATAAGCCACGGATGGGCAATTTTCCCAAGGAGCCACATGAGAAATTGGGATTCTTGTGGAGGGCCAAAGCAATAGGCTGTGAAGGTGCATAGGTATGCACAGACACACATATGTAAATTAAAAAAAAAAAAAGCAGTTGCCTTCAAAATAAAAGCAACCTGTGCAGGCTGGACAGGGACAGCCAAAGGGCCAGATATGGCCCAGGGACCATACATTACTCAGGTCCGCTCTAAGCTTTTGCCCCAGAAGTGTAGTGGAGAACAACCTTTGTGCTCCAGAAAGTATAGAATGTATATTATGTATAGAATGTATATATAATATGTATATTCTACGATTATACATATTGCATGGAGTAAGCAGGTTTCCTTGAGAGTGAAACTCAGCTGCCTGTGCCTTTTACCTCCTTTCCTTTCTGCACCTTCTGATTATTATTTTTTTCTAGAGCTCCACCAATCATCCAGAACAGATGCAGGGGGTCTCTTATAGAGAACTCCAAGGAAAGGTGGTCATTGCCTTCCCTTTGTCCAGTTGATAATAGAAGCTTCTCCTTCCATGGGAGAGGCAAGCCATATATTCTATTTCTTCTGATGATGGGAAAATGCAAAGAGCTAAGCAGGCGCTTACGCCCGTCAACCAATTTTAAAACCCAACTTTTATGACTGTAAGGAACAGCAGAACATTTATAGAAAGGGAGTTCCCCCAGCAAGAATTTGGTTTGGGTTGCAGCCCTGAGCTTTTGATACGCAGAAAAGCATAGATTTTGTAATGTTTCCCTCCCCAAAGTAAAACTTAATTCCTTTTCTCATTCTGCAGGACGCACCACTTGGAAAAGTTTCTTTCTCTGTCTTTGGCTCTTTTGGGGCAGCCATGCAGGTCATTCTGATATTGTATCCTTACTGGAATCGCCTTCATTGCTCTTGGTGCAGTTAATGCCATTCATGTTTTAGCAAGAAAACACTCAGCCTGTTGCTGGATCCTCTCATAATTAATAATCTGCTCTAATTTTCTTCCATTCTGTCTCTCTTACTGAAAGCCACCATGTAACTACCATACTATACAGAGAGGTTTCTCTTCCATGAGTTGGTCTATTCCCTTTCGGAAGCCATCCAAATGGGTATCTCCCTGAACCCAGCACCATCATTTGCAAAGAAATATTTCCTTTTTACTGTCCTGAATTTTCCAGCTTCCATTTTACTATAAGGTTGCATAATCTGTGTATAATATGAGTATTGTGTTCTTTCTTTTCTCAATGACCCGTAACATAAAATGTAATTGATTTACATCAGCTGAAGATAACTCTCTTCTGTTTTTCCTTAATGTTTCTCAGTTATTTAATGATCTCCTCTGTTGTGGGATTCTATAGCTCCCCATTTTTCATCAAACTGCTACCTGAGCAACACAACACAGCCATGACTAAGGTAGGTCTTTGTCCTACAACATCTTACTATTACATACTTTCACTGGTGAAACCTCCAAACCATTAGCTGAAATGTTGTTCATGGAATGCTAGAAATACAGGAAAAAGGAACAATCTTTTTAGCAGTTATTATATTTCAATAGGTCAGGAGTGTTAACCTTGGCAACTTTTAACACCTCTGGACTTCAACTTCCAGAATTCCCCAGCCAGCCAGCCATGCTGAAGTTGAAGTCCACATGTCTTTTTTTAAAAAATTAGTTTATAATATAAAATGCAAAAATACCAAATAAAATAATAGGAAAAATAGGAGAGGGAAAAGTGTAGGGAAAAGGGGGAAAAGAAAGAAAAGGGAAATCCACAAGTCTTAAAGTTGCCAAGGTTGGACATCCCTGGAATAGATTGTTCCAGGAACGCTGGTTTAGGGAATTGTATTAGCGAGAGAGCTTTGAATTTTGAAGCAAGGTGGTGGAGCCTCTCTGGTAGATAATGGCATGTGGAGTAGCAAAGAGACCTAGTTGAGAAATGGGATGAGTGAATTTTAGCAGAGACAGGCAAGGACTTCTAGTTTGAAAGAGGGACCCTTGTGTTTATTGCCTTATAATGATCTCTGTTCAAAGGCCAGTTATGCATCTGCATTATTTGAAAGACGCAGTTTCCTGACTTTCCATGGATCTGCTAGCTGTGCTTTAAAAATACTGAAATGGGGGTATCAGCCCTCTTTCCCCATCTTCCTAATTCCAAGGGTGAGAAGAGAAACTGGAGACTAATGAGTCTCCCTCCTATAATCTGACCCAGCCTTCAAAAATGTTCCCAAATCCCAGTTTGGGAATGTTGTCACAGGATAACAGATATGAGTGGTTTGCCTTCCAGATATTTCTTGCTCCCCCTCCTACCCTTTAAATTTCCAAAGAATTCCAAAATCAGTCTGAAAATCAGCCCTTGGGAGGAAATTTGCCACCGAGTCTGACAGCACAATCTCGTGGGGAACTGGCTGTGGTTTGCTGCAGTCCTGGATTAAGGAACAAATCTCCATGCATCACATGTACCTATTTGACAAGCCAGATGTTGCTAGTGTTCAGACTGATGGAGAGACTGCTTTTTGGAGCAGAAGTATCATAGGGAGATGCTCTTTGCTAAAGACTTGGTCTTTGGATCTCCTCATGCAAGGTGAAAGATCTGTAAGATGCTGAAGACCCTCAGATTGAGAGATCAATTGCAGTCTTTTCTGTCCCTTGGAGGGAACAAACTGAACCTGATAAAGAGAATCTATGGGTAAAGGAACAATTAGAGCCAGTTTGGTGTAGTGGTTAATGCACCAGACTAGATAGTGGGAGACGGTGAGTTCTAGTTCCACCTTTGACATGAAACCTGGCTGAGTGACTCTTTCTCAGCCAAAGCCTGGCCTGTCACTCAGCCAAAGCCACCACACAGGATTATTGCAATGGGGAAAATAGGAGGAAGAAGGAAAATTGCGTATGTTTGCCACCTTGAGTTATTTATTTGTTAAAAAAATAATAAAAGTGGGATACATGAGTAAATAAATTACATATTCTTGTGAATGATTAAATGTGTGAGATGAAAGCAGCCAGGGCAAGAAGCTACATCATTGTTTTCTTGGCAGATCATTGGGAACTGTGTCTCCCTCTTGGTGTTGAGTTCTGCACTCCCTGTGTTGTCTCGCACGTTGGGTGAGTCTTGTTCTTTCTTATCCATACAGTTATCTATAGCTTCCTGGATCTACATATCAGATTGATCAAATAAATTTATAGCCCATTGTAAAAACTGGAGCTATAGTAATTACGAAAAGACTTGCACAGATGAAACCTAAACACTGTGGTAAATTTCCATACAGTATTGGAAAAATCAAAAATATACCACCGAAAGGAGAGATAATAAGGAAAATAATGGTGTGTGCAGAATCCGATAGACTAACTTTAGAATTGAAAAAGAAGGGGGATACAGAATATTACGATACTTGGAACAAGTGTTATATGTGGCTGCAAAAAAGAAGGGAAGGTCAGAACAAAAACAGCTAGGAGGATTGGAAGCAAATGTAAACATTGTACCAATAATAGAAATGTTAATGGGTTTGACTACATCTTTGGTATGTATGGCAAAGTAGTGCCAAAATGGCTGTGCTGTGTTTTGTATTTATAGTTATATATAAACAATAAAAATTACATATCAAAAGGGGAAAAAAGGTGAATATAATTATCCTGATTCTGCTAGTAGATCTTCTGAAAAGATACAAGAAATCGGTAACGCACTAAAATTCTGTTCCCCTGGAAAGCTTTTCAAAAAAATTTTTTGCACCAAATGGGATATATTATTTTTTTTAAATGAAAGCCAAACTTGTTCCGATGCTCAATTCTGCCCCACGTTGGAAGTGTCACGGTAGTAAGGCTGATCCTCCTACAAGAGCCAAGGGTGGGATTGGAAGACGGGTAATTTCTGGTCCATGATTGTCAGCCTCTTTGCCTCTCTACTCTTTCTTTCAGGGATTACCAGATTTGACTTGCTAGGAGACTTTGGGAGGTTTAACTGGCTGGGAAACTTCTACATTGTTTTCCTCTATAATATGCTCTTTGCCGGACTCACAACTCTTTGCTTGGTGAAGAAGTTCACCTGGACTGTGCAGGCAGAACTCATCAGGGCAGTTGGTAAGTACGTCTGGGTGGTCTTCTGGGAATGGGGGAGACAGCGGGTGGCCTGATCAACCTGGAAAGGAGCATCTTTTGCGTAGCCTAGGGCTGGAAGCCTCTTCTTTTTGGATGGCCACTAGCTTGTTCACACATCACATTGAATCATAATACCCCTTTTTTTTTAAACTTAGTGTCTTACGTGAACCCAGTTAATTGTTTATACAGAAAGCTAGGGCTAAGGCAGTTGGGCTTAGTATATGTGTATACATCTGTGTGCACCAAGCTTTTGAGTTTGGGAAAGGCTTGTAACGTCTGTTAAGTTGGCCTTTCCATTAAGAAGATCTTTCTGCCTTGATTGCATGCTGGCTTGTGTAAGAGTATATTCATGAACTGGAATAGAGCTTGATAACAAAGTCAGCCGCTGAATAGGCATAGCAACTAAGTCAGCCAATGAGAACTGTTTGGAAATTGAAGCTAGAAGTAGCCTAGGCGTGGCTCTATATTAAGCTCTGCAGCTCTGAAGCTATGTTAAGCTCTGAGTCTGTCTATTGAAGATGAAACTGCTTCTCTCCTCTGCTGTGTGATTGCTTGCCTGCTGAAGTTGAGTTGCTGTTCTGCTTTGAACCTGTAACATGTCTGCTTCTGTTTGAATTTGCTCCATTCCATTGGAGAAATCTACAACTGGTATTGTAAAATTTACTTAGTATGTTTATAAAGATATTAAACAAAGCATCAGCCATCTGTGTTTACTTTTCTGGCACTGAATTTACGCTGCAAAACTCTGAACAGCTTGTTTTGTTCATTTTGCATGCTAAACCTGTTGGCCACTCTTAAATCACTTTTCGCAAGTGGCTTGCAACAAAGAACAAAACCGTTGTGTCACATTGGCTTTCTTGTTGCCTAAATAGCAAAGGACGCGACTGCAGGCTTGAGGTGTTCAACTACTTTTCTTTTCTCTTTAGGCCTCCACAAGCTGCCTCTGCCTGTGACCCGGTCTTACCAACCGAGCAAGCTCAGCTAAAACAAGAGTTGTGCCTAGATTGAGCTTGGCATGGACTATGGATAGACCTTTCTGACTTTGTGCTCGTGTTCTGAGCCAATCAGTGGAGGGGGAAGAGGTCAGGAACTTCCTTATTCTGATCCTTGTTTTAACTGACATCCTGACAGGACTGCGAGATGAAGAAGCCGCGTCCTTCAGTTGTGTGGCCTCTTCTTCCTGCCTTCCAGAAGCCTGAGGAACGACAGGCTTCAGCACAAGAAAGGCCTTTGGGATTTCGATTAAGGTGCTTTTCTGACAAGAGCAAGAGAATGTGCAGTTTGTTTTAAAAAAAAAAAAGCAAAACAGCAGCAGAAATAGGTTATGAAGAGGACAAAGGACTGAGACCGATAAATAAAATGAGCTGCTAGACCAATTTTTAGGGGGCAAGATGAAGGTTTAGCCTGCTGGAGATAGAGCTTGTGTCCCTCATCATGTTAAAAGATGCTGCCGTTCTCTATTATTGGGGGCTTTCCCCTTCCCTTTTGTTTACATGTGTCTTAAAAATCATACCTACCCTGGCCTCCTTTCTCTCACAAAATCCTGTGGTCCAAAGAGGCCAAGTTCTGAGTGGTTTGTTTTTTTTAAACTCGGTTTTGTACCTCACTCAAGTGCAATATAAGTTGGCACGATTGGGCCACATATTCCATTCAGCAGCCAACTTTGTATGTTTGCGTGTATGTGTGTGTGAAGGGTGATTGTTTTGAGTTTTGAGCGCCTGTGTCATTCAGAATGACTACTGTAATGCATTATGCTTCACTCTTTCATAGCAATAGGTTTCCACATAGGATCCAATCAGTTTTTTCCTTGATGAATTTTTACAGTTTAGCCCAGCCAGGAGGAATCCACTGCCATACCATTATGGGGCAGCCAATCTTCTGAGTCTAAAGCTCAGACTTCAAGAATATTCATGCAGCCTTTCTGTCTCCTTCTCATTCATGTCAGCTTTCGGGTAGTAAATTCCTCACTGAGTGGACTTCATAATTACTTTGCCTAATTTTCCCACTCAGATTCTAGGAAGGGCACCCCAGAGGCATTGTCCAGTTCTCGTAACAGGGCAATTAGTTCCCGTTATTGGTAAATATTGGATGCTTTAGGCATATATGGATATTTATGCAATATGGTAGAGAAAATCATATTTTTCCTCCCCCAACTATTCATAATTGTTTGAGATTTTTTTTTTATTAATGTCGTTGGGGCCATGGAATGCCACCCCTGCTCCAGAAGTTTTCAGCTTTTTTTTTTTGCTGTAACTGGCATTCTAGCCTCATGTCTGTATCTACTGTGAATGCTTCCACTGGAAGTCTCTCAGCACTTGAATGTTTTTACCAGATTTCAGCTTTCATTGAAATAACACGAAGCTTAATCCTTCATTTTATGGTGAAAAACAGTAAGCAGGTTGGCTACAAATGGGAAGACGGCCACCAGATGGGCCAGCATTGAACAGGAGGGTCATTTATCCCCATGTGGGCTTTTTGAATTGCAAGCATGGCACTTTCCCAGCATCAAAGCTTCTGTTGTAGATAGGTAGGGTTATCAAGCCCCGCAGCTGCCCTGTCTATCGTTGCAGCATATCCCTTTGTGCATAACTCAGAGGATTGAAGATTACATGGTGATGACAGTGAGCCATTTGTCTCCATAGATGATAAAGCTGGAGCTGAAAAAAACCTCAATGTTTCAAAGTCTGCATTCTCCACAGAGCCACCTTTTAACCATGCCCAAAAAGATACTTTCAGATATGAATGTACTGCATTTCCCAGAATTTTCAATCAACATATTCAAAAGCTCTGCAGGCTGTGAGTTCTAGGACTTGCACTCCCCAATCAGCCAGAGGATGCCCAGTTGAATTAAAGGTGGCCTAAATTTGGATAGGAAAAAAAACTGCGTTAAACTATCTGTTGCAGGAAAATACTATAATGTTAAAGTTCAGCTCAGACAGGACCAACTGTCTTTGTTATGTAGTGAATGTCTCGTCTTATTATATGGGACACCTAGCTGTGTAAGCAATAAATTGTGTTTTTTTAAAAACAAAACTCTTTCTCTGGATGTTGCCTTTATATTGTGGGAAATTGGAGAAAGATAATATTCTGCTAATAGATAATACAAATAACAGGACTCTGATATGTCTGCTGAACTTGATAAATGAGAAAACCTACTAGGGATGGAGGTCATATTTTGCTCTGGGCTACGGTTTGTTGATTCAACCATTATCAGCTAGGCTTATTTATAAATCATGGCTAGGTTGTACATCACTGTTTCAACCACTCCAGATTTTTACGTGATTTGATATGGATGTGAAAAATTCTGTACTTGGTTGCTCTGCCAATCAAATTAAGTCAAAGCTGTTTTCATTTGAACTATATGATGCAAATCAGGATTGTTTTTGTGTTGCAAGGTGGGAGTTTTAATATTTTGGGAGTAGAGGAAACATTTTGTTTTTGAAACAATTATACTCCTGCATCATGCTTGTCCATAATGGGGTGACAACATTTTAGCTAATACGATTTGTCAACTGTGTTTCACAACCTAGTGTTAGGAGCCAGCTCACCGTGGAGATTTATGCAATCAATTTGGTGCAATATATGAATTTAATCATGTCAAAGAAGAAAACTATCTAGTGGGTTCATGAAAGGACTTGAAAGGACAGGCCCAACCTGGTGGTCCTAAATAGCTGAATTAGAATTACAATTGTTATAATTCCAAGCCTAGCCTTCCAGTACAGATTAACATTTTTTCTAGGCCCCAAATAGCACATACACAACCTATCAAATTTGAAGTGAGAAAGATGGGAGAGGAAGTAAGCCTAAGACTTTAAAAAAAAAATCTGTTACAAAAATGCTATTTAGGTGGCCCTTCCTTGATAAGCTTTAGGAAGAATGGATTCCTAAGATTCCTTTTGTAATGGAAAGGCAGGAAAAAGGAACCCAAGATTTAAGCCCGCGTTTTGCATGCATGTGTGTTTAAACCTGTATTTACAGGTAGTCCTTGGCTTACAACCATTCATTTAGTGACCAGGGCCATGAGATTGCCATTTGCAACTTTCCTTGATGGCTTCCGACAAAGTCAATGGGGGAAGCCAGATTCGCTTAATAACTGCGTGATTCTCTTCATTCTACGGTAGTTATTCGCTTACTTGTGGCAAAAAAATTGGGTGCAACTCACTTAACAACCCATCTTGCTTAGCAGTGGAAATTCTTCTCCCACTTGTCAAAAGTTCAGGACTGCCTATATTCAAGCCCGAGTCCTAAAACTCCCAATAAGCGTAGCAAGTACAGGGGAAATTATTGCCGGCCTCGTGACACGAAGACCCCTTAATTCCATTCAGCTGCATCACCTTAGAAAGGGAAGGAAGCCATCATTATTTAGGCTCTTGTTATGAATGCCTTGCAGCAGCGCCCTCATTCAAGAAACTGATGGATTGGTGAGGTACCAAAGGTTGACCTTCCTCCTCCTTTCTCAGCAGGGACATAATTGAGGGTGAGGCCTTGGCAATAAAAATCCTTCCTTCCTCTTCCCCCACCTTAAGTCTGGTAGCAGAGGAAAAATAAGTTCTGGAAATGATCAGGTGTTTAGCTTTAATGTGGGCCAACCTACCATGTGAAGCAAAACCAAGGAGAGGAAGCAACTTTTAAAATGTTGACACCTGGGGGCCAACTTCAGCCATCATCCAAGAAAGGGGGGAGAGAAGAGATTTCTCCTCTTTGGGGGCCATATCTCTGGGGCTAGGAAAGGTTCAAGCGTCTTGCTCTCTGCTCAGAAGGGGAGGAAAGGGGCAGCTACAGGCAGGGATATTCTGCCTTCCGGTTATTTATTTTCTCCTATCCTGGAAGGCAGGAAACAATGCTGAAAGTGCAGCTCTGTTTTATGCCTTTCAGCCTAATGACCTACAGACCGACTTCCTCTGAGGAAAACCAGGGTGTGGGAGGGGCGGGAATCTTCACTCAAAGGGCCCGAGGTGCGTCGACGGGCAGGGTAGTTAAAGAATGCTGGAACCGAGGCGGGGAGAGAGAGAAAAGGACTCCGAAAGTGAAATCTCTCTCCGAAAACAGCATTTCCTTCGCCGCGCGCCCCCTCCCCTCCCCTCCCCGAGCAAGGTAAGTCGCGGGATCTCCGGCCTGGCCAGTAGAGGGCGCCAGGATGCAGGCTGGCACGGCGAAGAGGCGACTGTCTAGTTTCCGAGATTGGGCAGGGAGCGCCGCGGGAATTGCGCGCTAGGTTGGTATCCTTAGGGTGCGCCTCCCTCTCTCCCTCCGGGAATCGGCCCCCTGCCCCTTAAGGGAGAGGCGGCCCCGAGAAGGATGTGGCCGGCACAGCAACTCATGGGGGCCGGGCTTCAAGGCGGGGCCGGGCAGCAGGAGCAACGTTTCCCCCGCGCCCGTAACAAGAAGGGTGGCATCGCTCGCCTCCGCGTCTGGGGCTCCTGTCGCCCGGTTGCCTGCCATTGGGGAAGGATGGCTTTGGGCAGGGAGAGACGCCAGGGGGCAGGAAGAGCCGGGCTGCTCTCTGGAAAGCGCGGGGAGCTGTGGTGGCGACTTTGAAAGGGCCACTGTGTCTTGGCACGGGGAGGGGCCAGAATCGCGTATGGGGGCCAGGCAGTGGGCACTGCGGGGGGAGACGCAGGGCACAGCGAGACCTCCCTGCCAGCAGCGGTCTCCTCAAGGGATGGGAGCGTGGAGGAATCCTCTTGGCTTCCCAGCAGCCTGCTCAGGGTGATGCCCACCTCAGCTGACTGCGCTCCTGGAGACCAGCGGAGACTCGCCCGTCTGAGGAGAGGGCCGGCTAGGCTGGCCTCTGGCTGAGATGGCTTGGCGCAGGCTTACCCTGGTCAACCTGCTTGGGCTTTGCTTGACCAGCTGCCTCCTGTGCCCTGCTCAGGGCTGTGGCCCAGGCAGGGGGCCAGTGGGACGGAAGCAGTCCAGCCGCAGAAGCCTGGCCCCGCTGCAGTACAAGCAGTTTGTGCCCAATGTGGCGGAGCAGACCCTGGGAGCCAGTGGCAAAGCCGAGGGCAAAATCAGCCGCCACTCCGAGCGCTTCAAGGTCTTGGTGCCCAACTACAACCCTGACATCATCTTTAAGGATGAAGAGAATACAGGTGCTGACCGGTTGATGACAGAGGTGGGTGCTCCTCGGGGGGCAAGGGTGATGCCCGGCTGCCCAAGGGCCCTGCCAGCTTGGGGTGCCCGGTTCAGCCCTGACATGTGTGAGGCAGCAACAAAGCAGCCTGTGATTCTGAGCATAGGATGACAGCCTCTTCTTTTAACTCTGGAGTAGCCTGAGCCAGTGCACCCAACAGATCAGAGGATTTAAGGGGTCTGCAGCCTTGGGCCCAAGTGCTTCTCTTTATACACATTAGCCCCTAGGCTTCCCCTCCGCCAGGTTGCTGGTCTTAAATGATAAAACGTTATCACTCCTGGTTTCTTTAGACTTTGATCTGGGAAATAGCCCCTTGCAGAATGAGTCTAAACTTGCAGGTCTAGACAGAGCCATCTTTGTGAACTATTGCTAATTTCAGGAAGTTTCTTCAGTTCAGAGACATTCTGAGATGCTGTGGGTTTAATTTTGGGGGATGGTGCTGGTGGTGTCTTGGTCTTTATGGCTGGGGACAGAACAGGATTGGCAAGCAAGGGCCAGTAGCAAATTTCTAGGCTAATCCCAGGAGAAATGTGCCTACCAAATTTTATTTGAGCACCTAGCTAATATTTTCCATATCAGAGAAGGAGAAAACGCTGCAGGACTCCATCAGCCCCTTCGTACTTCAAAGAGCCTGTCATTTCTGTTTTCTCGAGTCTTTAAGAAAGACCTTCTTTTTTGCTTTGGTTTTTATACCAAAGCAAGATATGCCGCTACAATGACCAATCTTGTGTGTGCACCTATAAAATGCTGGCATTGGCATTTCTTTTTAAAGTTTCTCCTGTGTTCTGCAGTGCAGTTACAATTTCAACTTGGGCCTCAGAGTATCATAGAAACTCAAAGGTACTTCAGTATTTTGATGGGAAAAGGCCAAGGGCTTTCTTGGGTAGAAAAATGCTTGCCCTGAAGTGGACCAAACCATTGTCAATTGGATTTTAATTTGTTATTCAAGTGCACATAAATTTTTCTGAGGAGTATTGCATTGTTGCAGTTCTTAATTCCTTGGTTTAATTATTAGTGTGTTTTGTAGTGGCATGCTGTGTTGTCTTGAACATTTTAAATGGAAAAAATGGGAAAACATTTTATATATGGAATTAATCTCTGTGAGGGAAACAATGTTGCTTTAGTGTTCTTTAGGGAGAAAAAAACACCCCTTATGAACTCTGCAAAAACAGGAGGAATCTTACGGAAGAGTTACATTTATTATCTTAACCAGCTTTCTTGGATCACAACCCACTTCAGGAAATGTGCAGAAAATAAAGTTGTGCAAGGATTATATGCACACATTGTGTGTTGTGGGGATAGGGAGAAAAAAAAAAGGAATTGCTTCAGAACTACCGAAATGCAATTAGCAGTTACATGTGAGCCGAACATTAAGTTAGTTAATGTACATCAAGTGATATGTTAACCTGAAAGTAATAATAATAAAAAAGCTGGTACATTTACAAATAGAAATAATTAGGAATACCTTCAGGACCTCAAAAGCACCAGAAAAAGGAACAAGGCATTAACAAAGGCTCTGTAAACCACTTAGAGAGGTCTTGCAAAGCCCTGTGAAGCTTATAAGTCTAAGTGTTATTGAAGTGCTATTGAAAGCCATTCCAAGTCTGAAATGAACATTTCTGAAGATCTGAATGGTGATCACAATCATTGTATAGCATGATCAATTAACTTGCAATGCAGGTTGAGGAAGGTGATTGGTTTTACCAGCCTCCAAATCTAAGACAAAACACAG